CATCACTGGACTGCCAGGGATATCCATCCTTATTTATTGTTGAATGCAACATGCAGCTGTTGAGTGCCTACTGTATGCCAGGCCCTGTGATTTATGTTGGGGGATATAATGATGAAGAAAGTGCTTTTGCTTTGGAGGGCTTACCATCTCCTACCATCTACTGGACAGAGCTACATGTCAAAAATAAGTACAACAAAGGGTTTAATAGTTGTGCTGGGATCGTCAGGGCTCAGAGGAAGAAGATGTTCTTGGCACTGAGTCCTAAACAGTGTCTCTCATCCAAGATGCCTTTTCTAGAGTCAGTTTCCTGGAAGAAGTAGCCCAGAGTCGATAAAACAACATCAGCTTGTGTATCGTGCAGAGCGGCCGTGATCTGTATCCAGGTTGTTCACTGCAGGAGGATGCCCAGCTGAGGAAGAAACAGAGGCTGGAGTCCAGCCGTCTTTCCGTGCCAGAACTGTGTGCCCAGGCGAGGATCTGTGTTGGGCTAGAGAAAGAGGCATTATTTTCTAATTCAGACAAAGGCACCCTCTAGGCTGGCTTTAGTTCTGCTACCACTTCATAGCTAAGAAGCTTTTCCACTTGGGCATCTCATTGGATGCTCTCAGCGGCCACAAGCAGTGTGGCAAAGGATGAACAGACTCTGGTCCAGAGAAGCCGAGTGACTTGCTCTGGGTTGCAAGGCAAGTGAGTGGCTGAGGCAGGATCCACGTACTTCTCTGGTCTCCCTCGTGTCCTGCTGGCCCTCTGATTTCTGAAGGTCTTTTGCAGCCAGTGGCGGCTCCTTGCCTCTCCCCTGTGTATCAGGCCTGAGGTTCCTCCAACAGCAGAGGAAGGAGCAGTGAGCGTCTCGGGGGCTCAGGCATTGAAGGGAGCAGAGTTCTAACGCTGCCGGGTCCCCTTGCTTCACCCTACATCTCACTGCAGCTAATGAATTGCTAATACAATTTTCTAGATAATTTTATTTCCATAGTCCCACATTTTAATGTGTTTCCAAAAGCTAGCATTTATTTGCTTAATCTCCCAGTGTAATAGAATCTGCCCTGACTCATCATACATGCGAACAATCAGCTAGGCAGAAACTACAGCAAATTGTTTAATAAGTCAAATCTAGTCTCTGGATTTTTTAACTTACATGCACCAATAGCTTTTCTTGTGTCTCATCCGTTTCTCACCCACCCCTCCTCCCCCGCCCTTTCATTTTTCCTTTAAAGATATTTTCTATCCTCTCAGCTGCTGGTCTCCAAACAGAAGAATGGGGAGTGGACGGGGGGCCCTCCTTTCTTCATCTCTGAGCCCCAGGCAGTGTCATCAGTGACCAGGGGGAGCCCCTGTGCCCTGTGGATGCCTAGGAAAGAGAGACCACCGTGGGGACGCTGTAATAGATCCTTTCCAGGTGGTCACTGCATGACTTTACCCTTGTCACCGAGGTGCAGAGCCGATGTCCAGAACTTCCGATGCATGAGGCTTCCTGACTTGAGCCCAGGCTGAGGGTCCTGTCCTGCCATTGCCCTGGGATTTCACTTCGCCAGTCCTCCTCTGTCCTCCCAGCCCCTACCTTAGACTGGTTCCAACACTCCTCCAGTGATAGCACAAAAGCCGTCACCTTTGTCCCTGATCTCAGCCACTTTGCCACTGCCATTGGTCCCCACTCAGCCTCCAGGGGCATTGCCTTCATGTACTGGTTGGAACATGCTAGCCCCTGCTCCCTGCATCTTTTCCTGGCACCCCTGAGGAATGAAATCTAACCTGTCCCGCCTGGCCATATGGCCTTCTGCCATCCGACCTCCAGTAACTGTCCCTGCTTACCTTCATCCTTGGTGGGGGGGTCTGTCCTCTCTTCCTGCCTGCTTTGACATTTGATTGTGTTGTTTCTACCTTGGCTCCTGTGCCCGCTCTGGTCCTTAGCTCCTCAGTACACTTCATTTCTTAAAGCCCAAGAAAGAATCTCCAAAGCCCTCTTGGGGTCAGCCTGTCTTATCCTCTGGCTGGTGGTTGGCATGTCTGTGTCCTCCACTCGGCCAGGACCCTGTGTCTCTGGTTGATCTCAGCATCCCTCTTGTCACCTAGTACAGTGCATGCGCTAGCTGAAACTCACAGAGTTGACTGAATGGACACGAAATAGGCTCAGGTGACCCTAAGAAGAAGGAGCTGCACAGTGGGGCAGCTCTGGGGCCCTGGGAAGACCCGGAGGGTGAGGCTGCCAGGGTTCTCAGTCTTCTCTGGGCTGGGACTGACCCTCAGATCTCCTCCGGGCTTGGCTTTTTAGGCTCGGGATCTCCTACTGGGAATGTGATTCATGTTCCCTCTGACCCAGGCTCCTTCCACACCAGGGATTTTGAGGGATCCATAAGAAGAAACCTGGGCTCTTAAAGGGCATGGCTTGCCCAGGAAGATTGTTCTCTCTTAGCGATGAAAGGCAGATGTTTGATGTCTGGCGTCATCGGGACTGTCTGTGGGTTGAGGTTCAGGCCAGAGATGGAGCTGATGCTGGGGGCTCGTGGGATGAAGCAGCCGGAGCTTCCATGCCCCTGGATGTGCTGCAGGTGGACTCCACTCTGGGGAGCTCTGGCCAGGCCAGACTGGACTTTGAGGACTCACTGTCAACCCTTGTCTGCGTCTGCTGGGCAGACCACTCCTCTCACTGTGCCCCCCTCAATCAAATGGAGTGACCACCTCAGTTCTTCTTGCAGAGGCCTCGCTGGCTTCCAGCGGAGTTGGAAGGCTTCAGAGAGCCCTACCTCATGACTTGGCTTCTAGGGCGCTCCTCCTGGCCTGGGCTGTCTGTTGCTCGGGTGGACCTTGGATGCATGGGGGCTCCTGAGCCAGCCGGGTTAGAGCTGGCTCGCTCTATCATCATTGTGCCTCTTCTCAGAGAGGCCCAGGCAGGAAGGGAGACATTAACCCAATTCTGTGGTTTCTGAAATCAGACAAACTGAGGCATTTATAAATCCCAGCTCCTCTTCTTTCTGACTGTGTGACCTTGGGCAAGTTATTTAACCACTCTGTTTTGCCATTTGTGAAAAGGGGCATGAGCATCCTACCGGGTACAGTTGCAAGTTTTAAATGAGATGATGGCATCGATAAAGCGCCTAGCACAAGGCCTATAGTGGTTCCCCTTCCCTCTGCTCTTTGTGGCCAGGAGGAAGTTTGTGCCCTTGCTTGTACTCATCTCCCCTGCCCAGCCTTCCCTGGACCCGGATGCAGGCAATGCCCGCAGGTGGGATGGAGCATGGCTACAAGTGCCCTGAGGAGTGGGGCTGTAGGGAAATGAGAAGCCATCCTTGTCTTCCGGCTGGTCCATCGCAGACCCAGCCAGGAATGGGACTGAGGCAGCCAGAAGAGACCTCTTGTTTGCTGTCTCCACTGATGGGACCCAAAATAGCAACCAAAGAGCTACCAGCTGGGACTCAGGTGGAAGGTTCAGATGCTTCCTCCTGTGCTGCTGAACGCCAGAAAGCCACAGCTCCACGGCAGTGCCGGAAAGAGGGTTGACGAACAGAAAATAGCAGCCTGTCTTTGTAGGGCTTTCCTGGTGGCTCAGTGGTAATGAACCTGCCTGCCAATGCAGGAGATGTCGGTTAGATCCTTGGTCAGGAAGATCCCCTGGAGAAGGAAATGACAGCCCACTCCAGGATTCTTGCCTGGGAGATCCCATGGACAGAGGAGCCTGGTGGGCTACAGTCCATGGGGTTGCAGTTAGACATGACTTAGCGACGAAACAGCAGCAACAACTTTGTAGGATATCATGGAGTACCTGCCTCTACTTCTGATCAGCACAGAAAACAACGAGAGTTAAATAAAAATTTCATGTCCCTCATTAGCTTAAAATCTCTTGACAGAGGACTTCCCTGGTGGTCCAGTGGTTAAGACTTTGTTTTCCAATGCAGAGAGTATGGGTTCAATCCCTGATTGGAAATCTAAGATACCACACTCCTCATGGCCAAAATACCAAAACATAAAACAGAAGCAGTATTGTAACAAATTCAATAAAGACTTTAAAAATGGTTCACATTAAAAAAAAAATCTTAAAAAAAAAAAATCCCTTGACAGTTGCACGTTGGTCTTGGGATGAAGCCTGAAGCTCTTACCACGATTTTCAAGACCCCATACAAGCTGGCCCGGCCCACTTGTTTGACCTCCTCCCTGTTTTCTCTCTCCCTCCCTAGCTGCACTGTTCTGCCTGATCGTTCTACCTGCTGTGTTTCTCTCCAGTTTACAGATACTATTTTTTCTTCCTGGAATGCTGTCCCCATGTCCCCAGTGTGTTGGGTAACATCTGTGATGAGGGCAGGCACTTTCTACAATTCTCCATGGCTGCATCCCTAGGGCCAAAAAGAGAGCCCTACTTGTAGTAGATACTAAAATAGTGTTTGTTCAAAGAACGGACCCTTAGGATGTGTGCATTCATGAGTGGAGATGTGGTTAAGAGAATCGGGTCTGTAGCGTCAGGGGAGGATCGATCCAGGCTGCCTGGCCTTGAATCCCAGCTCCGTTTGCTTGTGAACTCTGCTACTTTGGACAAGTTATTCAGTCTGTCTGTGTCTCCTTTTCCTTATCTGAGGGGTGAGGCTGTTGAGGCCCCCTTTTGCAGATGGGATGCTTTAAGTGTTACATTCCAATGACGGCTTTCATCTTCGCTATTGTGGTTCCTCACAGAGGCCCCCGGACACCCCATCTCCTGCCCAGGCTTGGAAAGTCCCTCTGATAGACGGCTTCTTGGTACCCTGCCTTTGACACAGCACTCCAGACAATTGCAGACTCATTTGCTGCCATGATGTTTTTGATTAATATCTCTGTTTCTCCCACTAGACTTTAGGTTCCATGAGGATGGGAAGTGAGTGGATTTTATCCACCAGTGGAGCCGTGTGCTGGGGGCTCCATCAGCATCACGTGGCCCGCGCTGCCTCTGGGTTTGCTGCTGAGCGTGGGGCCGGGGTGCTGTCCTGCCGCTGGCTCGTGCTCCAGCCCAGCTGAGGCTCTGCCCCGTCTCCCTGCAGGCACGGACATGGCTGTCTTCTGTCTGCTGTGCGGGAAGCGTTTCCAGGCACAGAGCGCGCTCCAGCAGCACATGGAGGTCCACGCAGGCGTGCGCAGCTACATCTGCAGCGAATGCAACCGCACCTTCCCCAGCCACACCGCCCTGAAACGCCACCTGCGCTCACACACAGGTAGGCTGGCCATGCGCGGGAGGGCAGGGTCTCTGGGAACCGCTGTCCGAACGGTTTACCTACAGACTCATCGATGGGGGAGCCCTCGGCCCTTCTCTGCTCAAGGGTCCGGCGTGCAGGGGCCTCTGAGGTGCAGGCCAGTGTGGACAGCTCTTATCCCGTCACACCTTGAGGACATTTAGTTCTCAATATCTCTGTGCCCAACAGAGACGGCTCTCATCAGAAATGTAGGCTCATGAGTCCCCCCCACCCCAGAAACTTCCATTTAGTGGGCATGGGTGGGATCTAAGACTCGACATAGTTAGTAAGTATTCCCAAAGATTCTGATGCCGGTGCACCTGAAATGAATTTTGAGAAAAATCTGCCTGCTTGGTCTCCATTTCCCACCACTGGTCCTACTACACACACATACACACACACACACACACACACACACACTGTGCCATTGTGTGCACACACGTATACATACCATGCGCACATATTGTGCAGACACACATTGTGCAGGTACGCACACGCTGTGCACACATACATGTTGTACATACACACCGTGCACATACATACTATACACACACAACACACACACATTGTGCACACATGCTGTGCACACACACAGCATACACACATACACACACACGCTGTGCACATACGTTTCTGAGGTCAGCCTTGGGCTTTTAAGGGAATGTGGCAGAAGTGATCCTGCTTATCCCACAGTTAACAGAAGCACATGTTCTGCATTGGGCCTTACCCTGTTGAGGGGAGACAGTGTGGGTGTATATACTGTGAGCCATGCTTAGCCAGTCACAGATGCTGGGGGAAGAGAGTAGCTGGAAGTCAGGGGTTGGGGGTGGGTACTTGACTCTGAGACCCAAGGGGCATTGGCTTTCTTGCATCATCCCCTAACCCCCAGCAATGTCATAGGTGACTTGAAGCCTCCCTTTGTCTGACTGTACATGGGTAAAGGATTGCCCGTTTCTAAATCCACATGTGTCTCTGCTTATGTGTGTTCTGTCCTGTGTTTGTGGCGAGAGATGGGTGATGGGCCCGGGGAGATAGAGAGGCACATTCTCTTTCTGGGGGTGTAACAGGGTGTGTTCTCTTGGCTGCTGGAGAGGGTATAAAGAAGTCTGCGTGCCTCAGGACAGACTTGGCAGGACCCTTTCTCACTCTTGGGTCTTGTCACAGCCCCAGGGTTAACTGGCAGGCTTTGCTGAATATGGGAGAGGTGGTTATCCATCACAAGCTGGCCTGTCCTGCTGGCCGGAGGCATCCTCACCGAGGAGCCTCCCAGGCTCTCGCCTCTGGATGCCATTCTGTTCAGGGGAGCGTGTTGCCTTAGCATAACCAGGTTTGCTTAGAACTTCTTAGATTTGCTGGCTTAGGATGAGGGGAGGTCCCAGAGGGTAAGGCCCAACCAGAAGGGTAGAAGAGGAGAGGATGCTGGCAAGAACTTTCTCTGCAGTGACCGCCTAAGCCTCCCCGGCAGGTATCACACCTGCCCCACTGGGTCCCTAAGCTCGGCTTGTCAAAGATGGCCAGTTAGCTTTCAGACACTTCCTTTTTATTACTTTTTGTTTCTTTTTGGCCGTGGTGGGGTCTTCGTTGCTGCACGTGGGCCTTTTGTAGTGGCAGCAAGCGGGGGCTGCTCGCTGGCTGTGGCTTCTCATCACAGTGGGCCCTCTCATTGCAGAGCATGGGCTCCACAGCCTGTGGGCTCCGTCGTGGTGCACAGGCTCAGTTGCCCTGCAGCATGTGGGGTCTTCTCAGAGCAGGGATCAAACCCATGTCCCCTGCATTGGCAGGAGGATTCTTAACCACTGGACCATCAGGGAAGTCCCCCTTTGGCCCCTTCTGAGCACGCTGCTGGGTCCCATCAGCTGGATTCATGGGACTGGGACGATCCCACCCAGGGTCACCCTGCTCTGCCCATGCTGGCTTCTCAGAGCTCAGATACCGAAATGTCACAGGTCCCTGTGTCAGTCACAGTGCGGATCCATCAGGAGGGCCTGTTTCCAGACATTTTGGGAGAAGTACTTGCTTCATCCAGGAAACATGGAGCCGTGTGCACTGATTGTGCACACACAGACCAACACCCATCAATTTCACACCAGCCAGGCCCTGTGCACACAGCGCTCACAGGCCGAGCACACCCCCACACAATGCCTCATTAATATTCCGTTGTTCTTGGCCCATTTGCTGCTGGGGCCGGGTGTTTAGCATCGGCAGCTGTGTTTGGTAGGTTAGTTCAGCCGCGCTCTTGGCATTGATGGATCCCTGATTCACACGGCTCATCATATAATAAACTCTCAGCTGTGTTGGAGGGGTGGCTGAGGGGCTGATGGGATGGGGCTGGGGTGGGGAAGAGGACATTGGGCTTGGCCAGTGCCACGGAAACCAACCAGGTGAGGATGGACCACTGGTGTCACAGGTGCACTGGGCAGGCCGTCGGGGGCTGTAATTAGTCTCGTTTGTCCTGCACTTAATGTCAAGCTCATTAAAGAGGCTACAGAGTTAATCAACATACCACAAATTGGATTTTGAGTTCTGCAGCCAGTTTTGTGTACATTATGGCAACACTGACACGATTAACTCTCAGGGTGAGGATTTTGAGCCAGGTGCTTCAAAATCCGTGTGTGGGGTGTGCGTGTGTGTGTGTTGGTGTGTGTGTGTGTTGGTACATTGCTGTGTTTTTTCTTCCTAAATGTTTTATTCCTTTCCCTGGACTGCCTCTAGAGATTTCCTATTTAAACTCATTTAATGTGATCCACTTCATAATTAAATTCATAAAAATCTGATCAAACCAACCTCTCTGCCTTAACCCTTTGTTTTTTAAACTCTCCAGGCCCCCTCTAGAGGGGGCAAGACGCAGACCGACGGCGGTGCCCCCCACCCACCCGCCGAGTGGCTGCCGATGTACGTTTTAATTACCGGCTCCGGCTGAAGTCTCACGTGGGCCCTGCCTTATTTATTTATTTATATCTTAATGAGGATACTGAATCCTTGATTAAAGTTGTAATCGTTGCCGATTCAGTGAGGAGGAGGGGTTGGATGTCAGACGGTGGTGAGCGCAGACGTCTACACACACACACAGTGGTGTGCGGGGCCAGATCAACCCTCACTCTGTTAGACACACAACTAATTAGGACCAGGGTCTGCTTGGGCCTCGTCTCTCCTGGGGTTGGATGAGGCTGGCGGCTGGGGGACCGGGCAGTCTGCACAGCCCCGCAGCGAGAGGGCAGGCAGGTGCCGGAACCCAGACCTCTGCTCATCCCCAGATCTGCACGTGGGGGGGTCTCTCCTCTGAGCCCAGGGCAGGGCCCCTAGATGGTGGGGACTGGCGTGGAAGGATAGCTCTCCTCTTCGAGCTTCTTCCATCCGACACCTCAATGGGAGTGTTCCCACCCACCCCTTTACACCCTCGGAGCATCTTACAAGTCTTCCTCCTGCGAGAGAGCCTGCCAGCCAGCGGACCCCAGTGTCCTCTCCCCACAGAGCCTTAAAAGCCCTTCAGAGCCATAAGAAGAGATGAGAATTTATGTGGGTACAAAGGCCTGCCTTCGAGAATGGGGAGGTTTGGTTAGAGGCCTGAGGAAGGGAGAGAGAGAAGAGAGTAAAATATCATTTTAAAGAGGAAGTGAAGGCGCAGGCATGCAAGTCTATAACGAGAAGGACAATTTATGCCCAGGCACGAGCGCAGTTTGACATGGGGATAATGAAAAAGCGTAGGTCATTGTGGATGACTTAAACCTTCAGCGGCTGAAGAAAATGTATGAAATGCAGAGGACATTACACGGTTGGCAGCCTCGCACATCTGCAGAGGGACAAGTGAAATACAGTGGGCCATTCTTTACCATAAACTGTGGTTGTTGGAGATGCAGCCCAGAGAAATTGTAATTACAGTGACAAGACGAATCAGCGATATTTAAATATTCATGAACAAAGTCTGGGGTGATCAATCTATCTTTATTGTCTGTGCCTTCACTCCTGTAATAAATAAGTAGCTGAAGTCTTCACCTTTCATCCCCCCTGCCACCGAAGCCCCCACTTTGGGTACAAAGGGAAGGATGGTTAATCCCCACGCCCCAGCCTCTGACCTGGTAGGGGACTTCAGGGTGCATTACAAACAGGATGCTGATGGGCATAGCTGCCAGGCCAGGGAAAGGGAAAGGCCGTTCTCCCCCAGTTTCATGTACTGACATTTTCTGAGCACCTTGATTGGTTTGACTGTGTGCTATGTACTGAGGCCACAGGGATGAGTGAGGCTTCCTTCTGGCCCTCGTGGTGCTTCCGTTCCGTGGGCCCAGTGGGTGTCACAACAGATACAACTCAGCATGTCGGTTAGTATTCGGCTAAGTGTTCAGTGTCCAGACCCTGGAACTAGATACGAATCCCAGCTCAGCTCCTTACTACTTCTTTGACCTTACGGACCGTGTTTAAGCATCTCTAAATATCTCATTTTTCTCATCTGTAAATTGAGAATGATACTATCTTTTTTGTACGATTGTTGAAATGATTACGTGAGGTTCTCAACGCAGTGATGAGCACTCAAGAAACGTGGGCCATTTTAATTAGAAAGCGCCATGACAATTGTACCACTATTACAAAAGGGACAGAATGCCAGACAATTCTTCTCTCTGGAGACAGAGGAGAAAGTGACTCAGTTTGCCTGGGCTAGGATGATGGGGGTAGCGCCAAAGGGAAACTTCTGAACCGTGGTGACAGGTGATCTGGGTTTTGACAGGTGACTAGGAGTTCATCAAGAAGAGAGTATCAGGCAGAAAGAACACCTGCATGAGACTGTGGGGGAGGGGAAAGCAGGGCAACTGAGAACACTGGAGGGGTGTTCTGAGAGGAGTGGAGTCAGGCTGGAATGGCTTGCACCCTTGACCTAGAAGAAAAGGAGCTGGGAGCAGGGTCTAGAAGCCCCTGGGTCTGCTCTACCCCCAGGGTGCCTGCTTTCTGGGGGCTCTGTCCTCCCTGAGTTAGATGGGCTCTCTTTTCCCGGGACGAGCCCTTGAGGCATGGATGGCCGTGGGGCTGTGCGTGCTGCTCCCCGTTAATGCTAAGGGGCTGGCAGGGGTGCGGGCTCCTCAGTCGTCTCTGCAGGTGGTGAGTACAAGCAGTCTAGTCCTTCTGGTGCTCTGATCCTGCCCCGAAGTCCCCTAAAGAGAGGGCGGGCAGAGGCGAGGGCCTGATGCAGCCCCTTGTCCCCACAGGCGACCACCCATACGAGTGTGAGTTCTGCGGCAGCTGCTTCCGGGATGAGAGCACACTCAAGAGCCACAAGCGTATCCACACGGGCGAGAAACCCTACGAGTGCAATGGCTGCGGGAAGAAGTTCAGCCTCAAGCACCAGCTGGAGACGCACTATCGAGTGCACACAGGTACCAGGGACAAACAGCCGGCTCCGGCCTGGGGGCGGGGCAGACGGGTCCCCAGAGAAGCCCAGGCGAGGACGGTCCCAGGCTGAAGCAGGGTGGAACGGCTCCTGTTAAGGCTTAGTATGCTGACCTGAGTCCCACTACCTCCTGGACAGGGCGAGGCAGACATTGCTAATCAATCACACTTTCCGGGAGCCCAGAGCAGCCTTCCAGGCAGCCATGCCAATAGCTCGCAGATGATGTCCATTCATGAATCCTTAATTAGGGTTCACTTGCCCGATTAGCAGAAAATGAAGGCCAGGATTATTTCCTATGACTTGAGGGTTAGAATAAGACCCTAGGGGACTTTAAGTTAGGATTTATGATGAGGGTTGGGAAAAATCGTAAGCTCGATTGAGTTCCAAGATTAGAAAAGCCGATGTTTTTTACTAACCCCTCCACGTGTATAATGTTTTACCATTTCAAAGGGCCTTCCCCTTCCTTTTTACGTGAATGTGAGCAACTGTTTCCTTAGGGTCTGAGGACAGAACAGGTGGATGTGGTCCTGATGTCCAGCGCTTCCAGAGCTGGGGGCAGTGGGAAGCTGGAGCTGGCCCCAGCCTGCCTGGGAGAGCCACAATTCAGATGTCTTTCCTGCCGCCCCACCGTGTTCATTGTTACCACCTTGTTTGCTTAAAATCTGCCACGTGGGAGTATTCACTGCATGATCATCGGCAAACACTACAAAATCAGGGCTTTGTGGAGAGCCCGACATAAACACTTAGCACCAGCACACTGCTGGGTTGGAGGGTAGATATTCAGAAGGGCTTCCTCTGAGGATAAGAAGTGGTGGAAGGTAGTGGAATGTGGCCAGAGAGAAAGCTTCCCCTGATCAGGGGAAATAGCTGCCTGAGCAGTTAGAAGGGAGAGGTGATTCTGCTGCTGGGGAGGGTGTGAGTTCCTAGGAGGGGAGGTGGATGGAGGGGGTAGTAAGCGTAGGATCTGTGTTGTCACAGGTCTGCGTTGGGCCACACGAGAGGACTGGGTGGTCGTTGCTGACAACTGCAGTGACCCCCAGGATTTCACAGAACCTCAGGGGCTTCCTTAGCCCCTTGTGGGAGATATGACCTGGCGGGCAGATCATTAAATGCATTGGCACTGACTATCGTAAATAGCTGGTCGATAGTTAGATCACTTTGGCTGTTCATTACTTCATTATTTGCAGGGGCCTCTGCATGGAGGAGTATCGATAGCGAGATGTCTGGCCAGTTAATTACTGTATCGAAACAAGGTTCTCCTGCGTCCTCTGCTCAGCTCCAGGGGACTGTAACAGAGGGATGGGTGGTCACAGCTAGGACGTGGGCCACGGGCTCCCAGGGTCGCCATCCCTCCCCCATTCTAGCTCGAGAGGGAAAGCAGGGTCCAGGGCAGATTCTTCGAGTCTTAGAAGAGGAGCCATTCCCAGGGGTAGCGTGCTTGCCATACTGGGGTCCTCTCACTTTCACCACCCCCTGCTCCCCACCAGCTGTAGCCCTGAAAGAACTCGATCCCCTTGCTTCCCTAGAAGGAGCTGTGTGCTAAAGAGCCATCCCTAAGGACTTTAGAGGCTTTGAGAGCACTTTTCTAGACTTCCGTTTCCTCTCTTAGGAAGGGGAGAGTCCACCCGCTAGAGAGAGTTAGAGTAAGTCCAGGGGCTGGAGCTGGCCCACACATGACCACTACCTCTGTGTGGCTATTTATTGGGTTGGCCAAAAAGTTCATTCAGGATCCCAATACCCAAGACTTCCCTTGTGACTCAGCTGGAAAAGAATCCGCCTGCAGTGCAGGAGACCTGGGTTGGGAAGATCCCCTAGAGAAAGGAAAGGCTACCCCCTCCTGTATTCTGGCCTGGAGAAATCCATGGACTGTACAGTCTGTGGGATCGCAAAGAGTCAGACATGACTGAGTGACTTTTGCACACACACACGCACACACACAATACATTAGTTACGGTGAACAAGATAAGAATGTAATATACTGGAAACTAACATGCCATTGTAAATCAACTACACTTCAATTAAAAACCCAAAAGAACATAGGGTCGCAGTTGCACGGGCCACATTTCAGGCACTTGGGAGCCAGCTGTGACTCGTGGCCGCCACCCTGGGTGGTGCACCCATCACTCTGGAAAAGTGCCGACCTAGAGGGACTGAACGTCTCCAGCAAGCCTGAGTGGGGGTGCTCACAGCCCCCTCCCTCTCTCCTGGCTTCTCCTGCCCCCCTCCCCCCACAGGTGAGAAACCCTTCGAGTGCAAGCTGTGTCACCAGCGCTCCCGGGACTACTCGGCCATGATCAAGCACCTGCGAACGCATAACGGCGCGTCGCCCTACCAGTGCACCATCTGCACAGAGTACTGCCCCAGCCTGTCCTCCATGCAGAAGCACATGAAGGGCCACAAGCCCGAGGAGATCCCGCCCGACTGGAGGATAGAGAAGACTTACCTCTACCTGTGCTACGTGTGAGGCCGGCCTGTGGCCGCGGCGGGGGAGCGAGGAGCAGGAGGAGAAGAGATGGAGCTGGATGGAGTCCAGGAGGACCGTGCAGGGGAAAAACAAAAACAAAAACACAGCAAAAAACAAAAAGCAAACAAACATAAAAAAGCAGAAGGGAAAACGAGAGAAAGGAAAAGGAAGTCTCGGAGCTGTCTGGCTCTGGTTCTCTCTGGGGCTCCAGGTGACCCGGATGCCTGGCTCAGCCCCTCCACCCAGGCTGGGGGTCCCTCCTTGCCTGGCTGGGGGTTGGCCTGCTCTTTTTGGGTGGGGGTGGAGGCAGGGGTTTGCTGAGCTCAGATGGTGGGATGTTTCTCTCTTCCCTCCACCCAGATCCTCCTTTTGTGTCCGGAAATAGAGACTAGGAAGGGGCTGAGGGACCCTCTGGTCAGAGTCAGACCATCCCTGCCTGCCGTCTTTTCACTGACTCCTTGGAAGGTGCAGGGCTGAGGGGATGGGTGGGGGTGCTCCAGGGGGGCGGACTGCAGAGGGGTGGGGCTGGGCTGGGTCACTGGTTGACACTCACAAAGGCAGCTCTAGTTTGCTGGGGGGCACATTGGGGTGGGGAGGGACCCTCCCCGCCCTGCTCACTGCTCAGTTCATGTGTTGCTTTCTTCCTCCCCAACACCCGGGGGTTCCTTCACAGTCTTTCAGGAGCCTCGGGGCTCTTGCCTGCTCCCCGGCTCTCATTGACTCCTGTCCTCCCCGCCCCCTCCATGGATCGGAGTGTCTCCTGCCTCCTCGGCTCCCTGGTGGAGAAGCTGGATCTGACTCAAGAGCCCCTCCCCAGCAACTTGCACCCTTTCGCTTCCTGAAAAAATGCAGACAAATTCAGTGGAATAGCCCATCCCAGTCCAGCCATCCTGAGCAAGATTCCTGCTGAGCTGCTTTTGCTTCCAAAATGGAAACGTGTAACAACTAAATACGTGCTGTCCCAGCAAACAAACAGCCCCTAGGAGGAGGGTTCGGTCCCTGAAAGGGCTCGTGGCCCGTGGAGGGATGTGACGTTATTCTCCAGAGGTGCCCTACACCTGGATGGGGGGACCCCTGTCCTGGGAGGGAGTTAGCCGTGCTGGGGACCCTTGGAGCTCAGGGGACCCCCCAGGCCTGGTGCTCTCTGCGGGGAGAGCCAGGTCCAGAGGGCTGTGCAGAATTCCTGACTCCCAGGGGCCCCCAGGCCGCCGAGAGGAGGAGTTGAAAGCGCTTTGCCTTGTGTTCCGTTTTGCTTCTTTTCTGTCCTCTGTTCACCTGTTAGCACATTGTACTTGAATTACCTCAGTTTTTTGTGACCTCATGAGCTTTTTTGACCCCTGTATCTCTGTTTTGGTTGGGGGTTGGAGGAATGGGGAGAGTGTTCTTTTCAGTTTCTTGTGTAAATTAATAGCTGGTTTAATAGACTTCAGCTGGCCAAGGCCCTCCCCATCCCCTTGGACGAGCCTCCCAGATGGAGGGAGTCGTGCAGAAGGAGCTGAGTACTCAGGATCTGAATGGGAGGCCGGGGCAGGAGGTGGGTGCCCGCCGGGAACACCGCAGGCCCGCAGCTGGCTCCGGCCAGGCATGACGTCACCAGGCCTCAAACACTCTGGAGCGGATCCCACCTTTCTTACAGTTTGCTGGGTCCTCCGGGTCTGGGGGCCTGTGTTCTTCAAATCCTTTTTCACGCGTGTGGCCCTATCTCCGTGTGCATTATCACTGCCAAAACTGGCCTCTGGTCTCTCTGCAGGGCTGGTTGGGGATGAGACGGCCCGTGTGTCGTTGCGATGGGGCGGGGGTGTTGTTTTTCTCAAAGCTACCTCTTACGTTTGTCCAGTTCTTTTGTCCCCTTCACGCCTCCCCTCTGCTGCTCTGTGTCCCCTCCCCAGTTCGCCCCAACCTCCTCTCCCTGAATTTTTGGAAAGCACATTTGCAATATTTGTGTTCGCTTTGAGACGGGTTTTCCGTTTCATCTCATGCTTTATTTGTAAGAGTTGTTTATGGTTTTGTTTTTTTGTTTTTTTTTTCTTCTTTCTCTGAGAAAATTGTGGCTGCGTTTTGATCTTTAGGTTTTAAAAAGGGGTTTAGGGAAGTGGTTTGGGGAGAAGGGTTGTGAGGCATACAGGGAAGTCAGAGGGGTGCGTGCTGCTGTGACCACCCCCTGTTCCTGGGCCCCGTCCCTTCTGTTCTCCCCTGCAATCTCGCCCACCAAATCTGAAGGCCTTAAACGTGGTGTGTTGGGGGGATACGGATTGGGAGGACTGTGTCACTAGACCGTCACTGGGGGTGATAACGTAGGGAGGATGCTGTTTTGCAACTATAATGATGATTTAGTGCTTTGGAAAGGAAAAAAAGTTAAACTTGAAATATGTAACTAGAACAGTTGTCTTGTTTATAATGTGAAAAGAGTGGAATCATTGGGGGAGGGGCAGTCCGTAAGAAATCTGTGTGCACTATTGCGGCCTCCCCCAGTCCTGGAAGAAGGGGGGACAGGCTGGCCCTCAGGGGATCTATAAATCCCAGAAAACAGTGTTTGAACAGCAAGATATCATTCACCTTAGGTGGGGAAGGGTAAAAATAAAAAATCAAACTATTCCATAGGCCCAGCTGACCCCTCTCCCTCTCCCCCTACCCTTCCCACACAGCCTGGGTCTCCTCCCCTGTTCATGAAAGCTGAGAGGGTTGAGCTAATATTTACAAATTGTAATATTTTTGTAATATTTGTTAGTTCCTTCATCAGTTCTACCAGACCTTGTCCTTTTCCTTTTGTAATGTGAATAGGAAAAAAAAAAAAAAAGACAAAAAAATTCACCACCACCACCACCAAAATATCCCTTTGTACATGCGTGTGCGTGCGTGTGCTTGTTGTGTGCGGTTGTGTGTTCAGTCATGCAGTATTGTCGTAATCTGGTGTTGCAGCGCTGGATGGTACTTAATCAGCCCCTGCCAGCCCCCACCGTCCCAGAGGGATCCTGGCCGCGAGATGGGGAGAGAGAGGGTGTGGGCGTGGGGTCTCTGAAGGATGCTGAGCGGGGAGATCTCTGTACCCAGCTCTCCCCTCCTTCCACGAAGCCCCAGACTCCCTGAAGAGACTCCAGCAGGCCTCTTGCCCCAGCCTCCTGCTCACACAGACAAAAACGATGCTGACCTTGCCAAGGTGGTCGGGCCTGATGGCCAAGGTGAAGGTCAGAGGTGATCTGGAGGCTTTAGGCGTGTCTGCACAAAGAGGGCCAAGGAGACGAGGAGGGTGGAGGCCGCGCTCTGCCCAGGTGAGACCCCAGTGCTCTCACTCCCCTCTTCTCTGCCACCTGGCTCCTTGGGCACCCCTTGCCTCTGGCTGTGGTACTGCTGACAACCTGACTTGCTACTGCCTTACCCAGCACAGTGAGCTTGTCCAGTCTGGGAAGTCCACGAGGACTAACAGTCCCTTTCCTGTGTTCAGCTCCTATAACTGTGCCCCCTTAATGCTTTTGGTGACATTTCCCCCCTCACTCATCTGCTCTTTCCCTGTTCACTCCTTCACTCATTCAAAGCATTAAAATCCTATGTGTATATAGGATAGACAAATATATAGAGAGATATATATATAGCAAGAGAGAGATATAAAATAGTAAATATCATTGCTGCTTTGGGCTGCTTTGGAGGAGGCCACGAATACGGGGAAGGGAGATGTGGGGTGTAGGGGTGGGGAGGGAGGCTGGGGGACCCAGTGATTCAGTACAATCCAGGGATGCAACGCGGGCTTGTTTAATCTTTGTGCCTGAACAGTTTTTCCATGTGTAGAAAAGAAAAAAAAAAGGAAAAAAAAGAAAAAAAACTGCTGCAATTTTTCACAAGTGTATGGTACCCTTCGGGATGCTGTTGGTACAACCAGCTGCTGGGGTGTCAAGGCCTTGGAAGGACAGAGCTGATTGGTTCACCTTCTTACAGGGGAGTGAACAGTGGTGGGGGGCAGCCTTCTGACTCTCAGGGGTGCTGGGGGAGATTGGTGACCAGTTCCCTGCAAACCCCATGAGGGCAAAAGCTGGGGGCACTGGATGTTAAGACAGAAAAGTGGAAAGCGAGCAGACCGTTTGTTTTTTCCTAGGCCTTTGTCAAATCTGTTTTCCCCCTCCTGTCTTTTTTCCCCTCCATCTCGGAGCTCCGTTGGTGGCACTTATTAACCTGATATTTCAGTAGGAGGGGAAAAGGCCAGACCAGGCCTACACGGTGAGACTGCTGGGTGGAGGGGAAAGGCACAGCCAACCAGGAAGAAGGTGTGCAAGACAGACCAGGGGAGCTGGGTCAGGGGAAGAGGGCTGGGGGAGAGGGCCTTCAGGCCCCGAAGCCCTGCCTGCCTGGGTCCTTGGCATCCCACTTTGCAGACAGGGTACCAGCCTCCTGATGTGTGTCATAGGAGTTGTTCACATAGTGTTATGCATGATCTTTGTGAGGTTAAGACGCCGTGGTGGTGCACCATGACATCCGACCCATATATATAAAGATAAATATATATATATATGTATGTAAATTATAGCACTGAGGGCTCTGCCGCCCTGCTGGACCAAGCAAAACTAAGCCTTTTGGTTTGGGTATTATGTTTTGTTTTGTTACTTGTTTTTTTTTTATTTTTTATTTTTTGTGGCTTGTCTTCTGTCGTGACAGCACAAGTGCCAGTCCGATCGCGCTGTATTACAGAATAGTGTTTTTAATTAATTGATGTTCTAGTTCATGTCTACCTCAGCACCTCCTCTTAGCCTACTTTTAGGAGGTTGCCCAATTTTGTTTCTTCAATTTTACTGGTTACTTTTTGTACAAATCTCTCTCCCCCCTCCCCCCTCCTCTGTTCCCCACTCCTCTCCCCTCCCTCCCTCCCTCCCTCCCTCCGTCCCTTTCCCCTCCCTCCCCTCTCACTTCTGTTTGTTTCACTTTCTCTCTCACTCTCCCTTTCTTGCCCCCCCTCTGGCCCCACCCAGCCCTGAGACTCCCACGTTGTGCTTGCCAGCCCCTATCTGTTCTAAGCCCGAAGCAGTTCACCCGAACTTGTGCGGTCCTGGTTGCAGCTTGCCGCATCTGCCTTCGTTTCGTGTAGATGGACGCGTTTCTTTGTAATTTCAGTGTTTCTGACGAGATTTAAAAAGAAAAAGGAAAAAAAAAAAAGAAAAAAAATGAATTTACTGCTGCAGGTTTTTTTCTCTCTCTCCATGTGTCACTAAGTGAAGTTTGTGCCTTCTATAGCAAAGAGAATATTTTTTACATCCTACTAACAGTAGATTTTTTTGTAGTGAACATTTTTTGTATTTTTATTTATAAGTCTCATAAGAAAAATAGCAATGTTCAGTTGTATACCTTGAATCTGCAGTTAGAAGAGAATAAAGTTAATTCAGTTGTCTCTGGCTTGAAGTGTCCCCCCTTTTTTAAAATGTGCTTTGCCTTTTCTGTCTTTTCCTGGGTGGGGAGGAACTGAGATTTCTGTCTGGGGATGGGAAAGAGGGTGCATTACACCTCAGCCTCACTTATGTGGCCCTTTTATGTATATTTGAGAGGCTCATACCCACCTCAAGACATACTTACCTAGTAAGTTTTCATTTAAAAAATAGCATTAAATACACAAATAGCATTTGGCCGTTGGTATGGTATGTGAAGCAGGTTTCCGGGGTGGCTCAGTGGGTAAAGAATCTGCTTGCAGTGCAGGAGACGCAGGTTCGATCCCTGGGTCAGGAAGACTCCCCTGGAGGAGGGTCCGTCAACCCACTCCAGTATTCTTGCCTGGAGAATCCCATGGACAGAGGAGCCTGGCGGGCTACAATCCATAGGGTCTCAAAGAGTCAGATATGACTGAAGAGGCTGAGCACACAGGATGTGTGAAGCAGATAATTTGTCCATTTATCACTTCAGCATAAATGTTCATCCAGTAATTTGCACAGTTATTGTCATAAACCTTGGGAATATAGTGAGAGGGGAGCAGACATCCCCTCAGGAACTGATATTCTAAGCTGCTGGGTTGGAATGTTCTTAGATTATAACTTGTCCTGATCCCACAGCTGGCGAGTGGCAGGGTCACAACCTGCATCTAGAACTCTCCGTTCCAAATCAGGTTCCTTTTTCGTGAAGCCAGAAGCAGGGGAACTCCTGTCTGGTCTTAGAGACATTTTCTACTTTTTGCTCACAGCCCAGTGAGTTTCATCTGTTTCTCAACAAGAAGCTGCCCCCCCAGTTAAAGGTCCCTCCGTCTGGCAGCCGGGCCTAGTGGAGAAAGGAGTTTGGAGCTGGCGGGGTGGGGGGTGGGGACACAAGCCCAGCATCACCACTCACAGAATAAAGCCTTTGTACAAACTGGGATGGCATGGCTCCTCCCACACTGCCCTGTCTTAGGGTCTGTCTGCTTTCCTCTCCTCGGGGATAGGAGCGTTTGCCCCGCGGGTAAGTGTAAGCCAGAAAGCCAACGTTACCCAATCCCAGACACACTGGCTCAACACCTCTGCCCAAGGCCACCTACCTGCCTGATGTTGACCAGAATAATGAGGAGGAGAATCCTTCTGGTCACAAAGACCTAGCTAAGAACACAGCAGCCCGCCCCACTGGGTGTGCAGCCAGGGCCAGGCCTCGGGCCGGCCTGGCCTCCAGCGGCATCCTGGGCCTCAGCAGAAAGCATCCTCCATGTGACGCCTTCCCAGCACCAGCTCGGCGGTAGGGCCTGATCTCCGGCCTCACCTGCCAGCTCTAGGCGCCGTCCTTCCCACCACCCCCCCACCCCCGTGCTGTGTGACCCTGGGGCTGCGCGCTGCAAACCACCTGGAGCTACACTCAGCTGCCTGGGTGGGTGGCTGCGGGTGGCCGCTCTGTCCGTTTGTCCTTCCTCCTCTCCCGGCCTCTGTGCTCCGCTCTGGTCGTTTTCCTTCACCTCCTCGTCTCTCTTTCCCTCTCCCCCAGCCCTTCTCCCCTCTCCCCTTCTCTCTCTGTCTCTCCTTTCTCTTGAGTTTCCTTTGGGTCCCATACTGCCTTCCCCTCCCATGTTTCTCATATTGGAAAACAACCCTTTGCCCCTTGATTCCGAGCCCCTGCCCCGTTCTTCGGAGCCCTTCCTTGGGCTGGGCCTTTCTTCTCCAGGTCCCTGCTCATTCCCATGCCCCCCCACCCCCCATCCCCGGGCCTCTCTGCCCCTCCCCCACGCTCCCTCCTCCCCCCTCCCCCCCAGGCCTCAGCGTTCTCTTGACAGATGGGAGGGCAGTGAGTGCTCCCTCTTTAAAACAACATTTAATCGCCGTTTTCTGTTCTCGGACATCAAAGCTGGGGCTTAGGCGCTGTGCTGGGGTCGCGGTGCGCGGGCTCTGGGGGAGAGGAGGTGAGTGAATAGGGCCGGACTGAATGGGCTTTGTGTGGCCGCTGGGGTCTGCCTGCTTTACATGCTCTTTGACCCAGATATGATCTCATGGAGAGAAAGAGGCCCTGGCCGTGGCCAGCCTGAAAACGCTCCATGGCCTGACTCAACCCCCGACCCCCCCCCCCCGCAGCCTCCCTCCCCAGGACAGGGGGCCGCCCGCCCGCCCGCCTGTGGCCAGTCCAGGTGCAGCCGCCCTCGGCTCCAGCCTTCAGCCCGGGGCCACCTCCTCCAGGACTGGACTTGCCCAGAGGAGCTCCGCTGGGCTCAGAAGAGGGGCTGGGCTGCTGGCAGGGCGGGCTGGGGGCTCCGTTCCTCCTGACTGTGTCTCCGAGGACATTAGGCGGGAGCCAGCCCCTCCCTGCACACAGGCACACTGCCCCCTCTTGGTTGAGGCCGCTGGTTTTCGGGTGGGTGCTGGGGTCACACGGCTCAACCTCAATCCTCAGCCGCTCCGAGGGGCCCCCCTCCCGCCAGAGGTCGGAGCGCCAGGCGGCAGAACCAGCAGAGCCTTGCTGAAGACTCAGGTTGTGGCAGGCCAGCAGAGTTGTCCAGCTGAGTCCGAGGCCAGGGCGTTCTCCACCCCGGTCCACATTGCTGGGGCTTCTGCCTGGCTGCTCCGAGGCCCCTCGTCCCCACCAGGAAGGCAGGGAACTGCGGAGTGCTGACCCCACGTGCTCTTCCTCTCTCTGTCCACTCTCGAGTTTGCAGCAGCCAGATGGATTTCCCAAAAATGCAAACAGCATCACGTCACTCCTTTGATTAAAGTCCCTCATTACTCTGCAGATGGAGTTCTGATTCCTTCCTTAACAAGGTTTACAAGACCCTCCATGAGAGAACCCCTGCCGGCCGGCCCAGACTCATCTCAGCATCACACCCTGCCCTGCGCTTGTCCTCGCCTCCCCCGCCCCTACCTGTGCTCCAGACTGCAGAGGGTTTCTGGAAGACACTGAACCCCGTCCCCCATGGGCTTTTGCTTGTGCTGTGTCCTCTTCTGGGAAGTGCATCACCCACATACACACTGACCTCCCTTTAGTCTCGGCTCAGGTCCCGGGCAAACCCTAGGTTCCCAGGAAAGCTCTCCAAGGGGCCGCTGAGACTGAGTTCAGAGTCACCCCTTCCCTCCCTGGTCCCTCCCCCAACGCTAAGTTCCTTGAGAGTGGGCAGTGTGTGTCTTCATAGTCCCAGAGCCTAACGCTGTCCAGCACGTAGAAGGCACCCAGTAAAGCTTTGCCAGATAAACGGATGGGGGGAGGGAAGGAGAGGCAGCATCAGGGGTTGAGGCCGGAGTTTCTAGGGTTGGCAGGTGCACACCCATGCCGCCCAGGCACCTCCACGAGTGTGAGTGTCACCGCGTGCAGACTTCAGTGGAGGCGACTGTGCCTCCCCCACACGTGCCCACGTCAGTTCAGAGAGATGCCCAAAGAGTCAGCTCATTGCCATGTGCAAGGGAGGAGCAGTCAGCCCAGGAGAGCACTGCACCTCAGCTTGGACATCGCTCTGGGTGCATGTATGCGCGTGAGCACATGGGTGTAGACACCTGGTCCCCAGCCACTTTGGGGAGAGGTTATCCCCCAGCTCTCGCCGTGGCTCAGACCCAAGCCCACCGTCTTACCCCCCAGCCCCCACCCCTCGCATGGGCTGGCGGGAGGGCAGGCTCTTCTCTGGGCTGTGTTTCCTGCTCTCTGGGGGGCATCTCAGTGAACGTGAACTCACTCATTTAAACCTGACTCTGCAGCCTTGCAGCCCCCTGCAGCGCTAATTACCCTGTAGCTCTAAACTGATTGCTGTACACTACGCTTAAGCCCTCCTTTATTTATTTACTGACTACATTAATAGCAAAGCCGCTGCTTTCTGCGGCTCACGACTGTACCCGGCTGGCTGCACCCCATTCCTCTGCCGCTGCCTCTCCGGTGGGGGGTGAGGGGCGGGGGGTGGGGGGGAGGGGTTAGTGGTGCAGAGACACAATCTGGAAAGCCCACCCTCTCCCGGAGACCCGGGGGCCACAATGTGAAAGTCACAGCCTTCGCCCTCATACTCCCTGACCCAAGCGGGGGCCTGCTTCTCTTGTTCTGGTTCTTCAAAAGAGCAGGAGCACGCGACACCCCGCATCCCCAGGGGGATCTGCTATTTGGGGGACTCTTAGAAGCCTCCCTTTCTTCATAGCTCCTGTGAGGTGCTGAGTGCTGGCTGCATTTTACGGATGGGTAAACAGAGACTGTGACTCATGGTGGTGGCCTGTGAAGGTGAGACTGGAAGCCAAGATCTGTCATTCCATCAGCTCTGTCTCTTCTCTGTGCCAGGCCACCTGTCTAGGTGACACCCTCCCACTCCTGGCCTGATCAACCCAGGTTGGACCATTTCCATTTAGTGATATGTTTTCACAGCTTCCACTCCTGTGTTGAATCAAAACCTTTATCTCCCGGCTTTTTCTGCCTCATTCACATACCTGCCCAGAATTTGCTGGAAACTTGGGCCCTAGAGCCTTTCCTTCACTCTCAGTAGCCTGTCCCAGGGCAGACCTAAGTCCAGCCTTAGCCAGAGGACCACATCCCTCCACCCCTCACACCTGGGCAGGTCTGGAGAGCAAGGCCAGCTGTGGGCTCCTGCAGGGTGGTGTCACCAGGCTGCCTGGCACTGTCTGCTTCACCGAGTGCCCTCAGGCCGGCCCCATGAGGCAGAGCTGAGCCCCGGCCTTGGGGCCTGGCAGCAACCGAAGCCCAGATGGGTCCCATCAGGGTGCAGCATGTGGACCCACGGAATCGAGCATCCAGCTCCACTCTGACTGATGCGTGGTGGCTGCTGTTCTGGGCACCCCCCAAGGAGCAGGGGCAGCTGAGTCCTGCCTGAAAGAACCTGGTGTCCAGAGTCAAGAGGACCTAGGTCTGCGGCCAGCTCTGCCAATCGCCATGTGACCTTGACCGTAACTCCAAGCCACGCTGAGGTTCTATGTCCTCAGCTGTAAGTGGGATGCAGAAATGCCTGCGCTGTCTACCTTCAGGACATTGCCAACTAAAGCAAGGCATGTGAATCAGCTTTCTAAACACCACAGTGCTATCAAATGAAAGTTATAAATTAGTGGGGGCAGGGGGCAGGCTCAGGGCTGGCCTGAGCTGGGGGAGGGGGCAGTGGTTTTAATGGCCTAGACATTCATTTCCAGAGCTGGAGCCCTGTCGCCAGGACCCAGGAGACTTGGGGTGGGTTCCTGGGCGCTACTGGTATCACTAGGACTCTGTCACCACCTCGTGGACACTGACTGCAGGTGCCTCTACTGGGCGGGCAGGTCTGGAAAGAGACTGGGAAAGCACATCCCCTTGAAAGCAACTTCGGTTGTTTTGGGGCACCCCATGCTATCCCGGGTCTGAGGTAGGGCTTCCCAGGTGGTGCTAGTAGTGAAGAACCCGCCTGCCAATGCAGGAAATACAAGAGACGCGGGTTCGATCCCCGGGTTGGGAAGATCCCCTGGAGAAGGGCATGGCAACCCACTCCAGTGCTCTTGCCTGGAGAATCCCCATGGACAGAGGACCTGGCGGGCTACAGTCCGTGGACCAGGTCAGGCTTCATAAGGGGAGAAAGTGGTCCAGAAAGGAAATGCTAAACTACCTGGGAGATGGTGCACTTGGATTTTCCAGAAGTTTGCCCGAGTCAGCATTTCTACCCTGATCCTTTTTCTGCCAGCTGAGCAACTGGCTTTGTCAAATCCAGCCCCTCCCATCCCCAAAGGCTGCCGTCAGCCAGCGCACACCCCAGGGATCCCCGCGGCCTCATCTGACACTAAGGGAAGATCAGCCTCGAGGGGATCCAACCCCTCAAAAGCTTCGCTGCTGGAGAGAAGCAGGCAGGCCAGGGGCTGCACCGGAGCTCAGAGGCCCCCAGCTCCACGTGCGAGGGCCTGAGAGGCGACAGCAAAGGGCAAGGGGCGGCGGGACCAACTCTTACTTCTGAGACCCTTCAGAGAGCCTCGGAGCCGTCGTGGAAGGTTGCTAAGGGCAATTCCTGCCGCTCAATAGAACTGCCCTTCTCATAGAGCGGGTTGATCTGTGCCTGTCCTCAAACCCTCCACAGCCCCTCTCTGGCTGCTTAACACCTGAGTTCTCCGGGAGGTAGTGGACTCTCCTTGGACATTTGGGTCTGCAGGGTATTTGATTGGAAGTGATCTTAGGTTGGGTCATTTTGTCTCTCTTCTCGACTCTTGGCACCTCTGACCGTCTCAAACGGATTCAACTGCATGGTCTAGAAGACCCTTCCCGAGGCTAAACTTCTGAAATTCTATGACTCTTGCCAACTATGAAGATCCTCAGAGCAGAGGATACCACGTGGTGGCCCCACCTCACCTGTTAGCACGTGTTTCTCCCTCCACCTGGATCTGGTGAGCCTCTGTTTAGAGCGAGCATCTAGTGACACCAGGTGGTGAGAAGGGGGAAATGTATGTTTGATGGTTGGTCTGATGGGCAGAGAAAGGAACAGGGAAGGGAGGAAGTCAAAATGAGGGGAGCAGCCACCGGGTGGGGGTTGGACCACGCAAGTTAGATGTGACTGACACCCACCTCATTCTCAGAAATCTCTTGCCATTTAGCATCCCTCCTTAACACCAGTGGTCCCAAGTGGCTGCATTTGACCTTTCCCTTAACTCCCCAAAGCACAGCGGAGACCAGCCTGTAACATTTAAATTAGATTTCTCTGAAGTCTCGAGGACAACAACAGAAAATAAGCACCGAGAACAACATAACGTTAGCCCAGCTCTCTGCCTGCCTGCCTTCATGAGGCCATGCCATCTTTAATCCCTAGGACCGAGAAACCTAATAAAGTGAGACCCGGAGAGAGGTGTCTAATGGATTATGTGGCCGTCCCACTGAAGGTCAGCCCCTCCTCCTGGGCCCTGGGTCTCATCCTCCCTGTTTTTTCCAAACCCTTTGCTTTTGTACTTTTCTCTCTGCTGCACCCATTTCCCCCTTTTAACCAGATTATTCCCATAAGCATTACAAATATATGCTATTTTATCAAAACTTCCCCTGACCCTAAGTCCCTCTTTAGTTATCACCTGAATCCTCCTCCTTTGAACAGCAAAATTCTAGAGAGAATTTTGCCTATACACATTGCCTTCTGTCATTTTTTTTTTTACAACCTTTTCTGACCTGGGTTTTATCTCAATTTTACTTCATTGAAATTGTCTGGTCAAGGTCATCAGTGGCTTCCAAGAGACTAAGGCTACTTTGCTGTCTTCATCTTGCTTGATCTCGCAGCAGCTTTCTACGTCCCTGACTCCTTTTGGAAATGCTTCCTCTCCTGGCTTTAGCCTCTACCCCACAGTCTGCTGCTTCTCAATCTCACTGGCTGACTCCTTCATCTTCCTCTTCTGTAATTTTGGATATTATACTAGACTATCTCTTCCTGCTCCCCTGACCCTCTTACCTTAACTATCGACTTTCCTCTGTGGCCACTTCTGTCACTTTTATACTTGCTAATGACTCCCAAATCTTTCTCTCTTGTCTTTAATTTTCCACTGAGTTCCAGACTCAGTTACTTAATTGACACAAACATTTTAATATCAAACAGGCATCTCAGACTTACCATGTCCTTATCAGAAAGCCTGTCCATACACATCCATGCCTGTTTCTTCCATTGAGTATATATTAAATAGGATAACACTAGCTGCAATAACAAGTAGATCCAAAACACACGATGCTTCCAATACGTCTTCATGTGCTCGGTCAGTCATGTCTGACTCTTTGTGGCCCAATGGACTGTAGACTGCTAGGCTCCTCTGCCCATGGAATTTTCCAGGCAAGAATGCTGGAGTAGGGTGCGGTTTCCTACTCCAGGGGCCTCCAATATGTTTATTTCTCACTCCTTTAGCTATCTGAAGGCGGGTGATTGTGGTTGGCAGGTGGCTCTTCTCTACATTCCTGTGGTTCTGCCATCCCTGGAGGTCTTGTCATCATCTTCATCTTCTAGAAGAAGGGAAGACAGAGTTGGAAGGGAGTTTTCCTGCTTTTTAAACACCTTGGCCCAGTAATGATATGTATCTTTCCTACTTTCCTTCCATTGGATTGTGTTCTGTCACATGGCTACATCTAAGGGCAAGGGGAACAGGAAAAATGCCTTTCAGCTACGTTCAGAGGGAGGAGAGTGAGTTTTGGTGAAAAGCTAGAGATTCCTTCTGCAATTGCCCTTCTAGTCTGTTTATACTCTTCTTCCCACACATAAAACTTTCCCAAAGAGAAATAACCCCGAATTCTATCCTATCATTGTACCCATTTCAAAATGTGGGGTCTCGGCTTGATGTTCAGTCTTCACCATCAGCTCTGTGAACTAAAAGCAAGTTACGTGTATCCCACCCACATCCACAGGTACATGACTAAAATAAATGACAACTGCCCATGCTATGCAAAAATTGCTTTTCTCCCCTTTTTGGTTTAAATTAAGGTTATAGTTCCCCTGCAGTTAGGTGTGGCCAGATAACTGATGTCTAACAATCATGTGGGTAGGAGTTATTTGTATTACTGTCGGGAAGAGGATTTTAAAGGCAATATCCCCTGTTGAAGTTTCCTAAAGCTCTCATGACATATCACCACAACTAACCAAGAGAAACTAGTTTTCCCACAGTTGTGGAAGAGAGAAATCCAAGACCAAGGTGTCAGATGGCCACATTCCCTCTTAAGACTCCAGGAAAGAATTTTTTGTTTTTTTGGTCTATTGTAGCTCCCGAGGTGCCTGACATTCC